AACTGATATCACAGCACTTGTGACATTCCGCCATCATGTACCAACTGTACAATCCTACCTTGGCGTGTCAGAGCTAAGTGAGCAGACCAGCTTGCACCATCACACGCAGGCAGGAAGAAGCATGGACAGAACAGATATGAATGCTGTACAGACTAGACCGGCAGATTGTAAGAATCTCTGATGTTAACGTGACTGCATGAATTTTAAGTGAAGCACATTGGTGTTGTCTTCGAGGTCAAGATCAAACACATAACTTGCTATGGGAACACTCAACAGAGATAACTTAGAGTGACTGCTTATCAGAGGAATGGGAATGCATGGGAATGCCCAATATGCAGTGATGTCGAATATGTTAACATATCTCCCCAAAACAATGTACCACATCAATTTTTCTACAACACATATAAGCTGATATCCCCAAAACAATGACCATTTATTGTATTCATCCATTCTCTCTCAAATTTGATGAGGTCTCAACAATATGTCTACTGTGCAGCCACTGCTGACTTTGGGGACACTACATGGTGAGGCCTTATTCACATTCATAGTGAGACTCAAAACACTGCCCTAATAGCACAAAACATTTTTTTTTTAATATCACCTGTTGCTGTTAGTGAACAATGTTTAACTAACATCTCCCAAAAACAATGCACAATATCCCCATCACATCTGTTATCCCAAAATAACAACGTACAATGTCTGTACAGAACAAATGTGATTTCAGCAGACAATTTCAGGTAACTAAGAATTCACCAACATGTCTTCGCATTTGGGCAGATCCAAGTTTCTGCTAGCATAGCCTCCGTTTATTTTTTTTTGTACAGCTTTTAGTGACAAAGAAGATACAATTTTGGTTCCCCAGTACAGCAACCAAGAGATAAGAGGGGGGATGCTATGGCTAGTCAGGAGTGACCAGGCCATTTGACATACGCTGGGTGCTCAAGGCAAAACGGATATAGTCTAGCTGGTGCCATAAAAACTAGAATTCTGTGCATGCTGCTGAAGATGGGGACACAGTGCTTATGAGAATTTTGAAATTGCTGTGATGATTTTTAATTCATCATTCTGGGTAGCAGAGGTGGCAACTGCAAACTACTGAATGTAAAAATGCCTAGTCAAAATTACAAAGAGCCAAAAAATGCTGGGGTTGGTTCTGCAACATCATGTGAACGATACACAGCTAACTAGTATTTCAGTTATGTGCATCTATTTCTCTATCCACAAAGAAAATACCATCCCTAAAATCATAATTAACAATCAACCAGGATTGCTCCAGTGCAGTACATCAATCTATGCAATGCAGACGTGTCTGCATGTTCAGACCAGATGTAAAAAGTATAAGAAAACATGACAAGCTGGGTGGTAGTCACATGACTAGTTTCTTCTTCTTTGTTCACCGGCTCCAGCGGAAAGTCCTGATCGTTCGCTATTTGGACTTTGGCTTTGTGCCCGGGCCTGAGTTTTGCATGTTTGTTCATTTTACTGGTTTATTTGTGTCCAGTTGGTTGCTCAGGCAGATGCACTGACTTCAAAGGAAGTCCCCAATTAGTCGACTCCTATGAGATGCTTGCTGGGGGAGGCAGTGGGTCTATTCTTGTTTTTTCCTCACAATGAGGCCCTGGAATGCACATGGGAAAATGTTAGTTCTTATGTCTCATAGCGTCTACGTTGAACTCCTGGTGGCCACATTTAATTTACTATTTTTACAGGAGCTATGGTGATTGTGCCCTGACAGAGATACTTGCATTGCTACAAAATGTCATGGCTAAGAGGTTTTATCTTTTCACTTGAGAGAAAAACTCTCCCCCACATTACTGAGGACCACATCAAGGTCTGCACAGGAACCCATCATTCTAAATATCAAGGCCAGATGCTCAGTTTATTAGTCAGTAATTGATGCTGTATTAAGAATCATGTCCCCCATCTTCAGCAGCAAGTGAAGAGTTCCAATTCCGATGGTACCAGTAACTGTTTGATTATATATCTGTCTCGGCTTTCCCTTGAGTGTTGAACATCGGCCAGATACCCTGGTAACTCCCTGCAGCACCATTCTCTTCAGATATAATGATCCATTGAGTAAATGCAGATTTACTACACGTTTAGTACAAAAGTAAAAATACATTGAGTATCATTAAGTTAAAGTTCTGTGGAGAATAATGACTCATTAATCCTGCCACCCAAGAAGGCTTAATTTAGCCCCGCCTGGGAGTGACACAGTTACACAAGTTCCGACATATCACCAAGTCTGCAGTGACCTGTTCTTGAAAATCAGTTACATTTCCACTGGTTCTATGTGCACCTGCGTAGTGTTTAATAGGCCATGATATGAATATAGTAACTAAAAATAGCATCGGGTGGGGGTCTCTGTGGCTTTTTTAAAGCCACGCTGGTATAGAATTTTCATGCAAGCCTTAAGATAGATGCCATTTTATCATTTTTTTAGGCATCAGAGAATGCATTCCATTTAATTTGATTATCCCCTTTACATATTACATTTTGGAGAAAAAGTTATGTGCATAAATCAAGTTTTTTAACATGTATTAGCGACCTGTGTAATATGGATGTTTTTAAAAGGATTTTTTTCTGGGAATTCCCACAGGCTCATGACCCATTTTTTTTTCTATACACTTGGTAGCAGGAGTTAATGGAATAATTCATTGATAAGTAATTTTCAGTATTCAAATGTATTAAATATATGAGAGTTGAAAGCTAGGGAATACTATACTATTGCACTTGTTCAAACAAAACAAAACACATTTTCAGATAAACATATGGCATCTTTTCTTCATTTAGTGAAACTATTAAATCAGACAACAGTGGCCAGAGTTAAATTGCCCAGTTTTATTCACATAACCCTGTCATCTCCACAACTACCGGTCCCACGCCTGGATGAGAGAGGTGGAGGGCTGGGTAGGAACCAGATTCCCACCTCCCTTTCCGGTAAAAGCTAGCTTGCTACTGAAACTTGTAGGAAAGGATGCCCCTCCTGTAATTATGCCAACCTGTATAGTTTTAAAACCAATTTATTTCTTTATTTATATAAATTCTAATGTTTCCATCATAACACATGCCAGTGACAGTTGAAGAACCAATAAAGATATAAAACAAAAGTTACCTGAGGTTTTAGAGAAATGCTGGAACATAAAATGGGATGAATTAATGAAGGGTGAAGAAGAAAGAGAACTGTCTGGGCAATCACTGGTAACAACCGTTAAAAGACAAAGAAGACAGTGCCATATTGGACATATCCTGAAAAGAAACAGAGAATCACCAGAAAGGCACTAAAATAGGAAATGAATTGAGTAAACTATGACCAAAAGAAACCCTAAAAAGAAAGCTGATGATAGAAGCAAAAGCTGCTGAACCAGATTTCATAGAACAAAACAGAATGGAGGAATAGACTGCGAGTCCACTGTGACATATCGAACAAGACAACAATGATGATGAAACATGTCTTCGAACAAGATTAATTACAAAATCGACCAGCATATATTCACATAAGCTTGGTTATATGATCTGGTGAAAAGACTGAGCTTTGGCCCTGCTCTCTTCCAATCACTCGATGACTATTTACTATTTATGATAATAAAAAAGAGAAACTAAATTTATTTAAGCCAAAACAATTGTTGCAGTTCTTATAAAGCATAATACAAATAATTCTTTAAATTATAATATACATCAGCTGAGTTTAGTGCCGTGGTTCTCTTCAAATCATAAAGCCATTAGGAACAAATCCAATACAACACTAAACTATAAGTGCAATTTCACAATAATCCAGATTTTTCAGAATGAACCATTAGACGAAAGCTTCAAAAGATAAGGTGTTTTTTTTTCAGATGATTAAAAAAATTCCTCGCTGTCTGTTTTTACCATTTTTTAATGGAAGCATGTCATTATAACTTGACTCACAGCACGCTGAAAAAATTGGAGATAAATATGCTCTGTGCAGATTGACAAGCATTGCTTCAATGGACCCGGGTGTTATTTGTCATTGTTCTTGAATACTTTTCTTCTTCATCTTCTTGTCTAGTTATATACTGCCCTTCAGTGTTAGTGTTAGGTTTAGAAGAGCCGTGGCATGTGCTACACAGATGATGGTATTCACAGCGTTGAATATTTGATCTATCTATACCTTGCATGGTTGACCTCTGGCTCTGCTTCCATCGAGTCAACGTGACAGGGCTCTTTGTGTGGCACTATCTGCTGAAGTCTTAACTAATTTCCATTCTTATCACATAACCAAAACACACTTTATAATGTTCAATCTCCACTTACTTTTCCCAGGCAAATAGTCACTTTTGCTGTTAAAGTACCAGAAACATCCATTTAAAAAACTAAGTCTGCTGTCTAAATCTCTTCGAAATTCATTTGCTGACATTCAGAGATTCCCTGCAAAACCGCAGCACAGGTTGGATATAACATTTGAGTACCTTCTCGTACCAAACAGCAATCAAGGAATAAACACTTGAGTACCTCCTCATACCCAACAGCAGCACAGGAATAAACACTTGAGTACCTCCTTGTACCCAACAGCAAGACTTACAAACAAAATGTTTATATCAGCTGCTTCTTTTAACTGTAACTGTCAATCACTGTCTCTTAAATTTCATTTGTTATTTTCTCCACATGCACAAACATATTCCCAAAATCTCCTGTTTTACCTCTTGGTTTTGAAATTGCAAAACGGCTCATGAGTTCACAGACTACTGCTCCAATTGGATACAGTTAATCAAATGAGAATGGCACAGTTTTCAGCTGAGTTACAATAACTGAAATTTAGGTATCATTTATAATAATCATTTTATCCCGTATGCTTGTTTGAAGAGTTGAAGGCTGATGTAGACAAGAGAGAATAAATATCAAGATTCTAATGACATCCGGCATGTTGACTTCATATATTTTACAAGTGCTGAATGTTGCTGGATCTGTTGATAAGAAGAACGTGCCACTAGATTATGATGATTGATCAACAATAGGAAACAAGGAAACCCTACTGTAAATCACATGTTGAAGGACGACACAGAAGACACCCCATTCTGAGAGGTAATTTCTCTTTCATACCGGCTGCTCAAGAAATTCGCCGTTTCTGTCATCTGATGTAAAACCCCAAACAATCCTCGGAGGTGAAACCTGAAAGATGCGGCCGTTTTCCGGGCGTTTTCATTGACGGGGTCGCTACCGTTGATTTTCTCATCGATTGATGACGAAACGATGTTGCTATTCTGTATCTCTTCCTCGGGGTTAGGACCGGTGATAATCTCTGATTTAATAGCGTGAAGCATGACGTAGAACTGATACAGATCGCCGTTCAACTGCAGGACTGGTATAAGAGCTTTATTGTTGTTGTTTTCTTCGCGAACGCTGGGAATAGAGACGGAAGAATCGACCGGGATGTCTCTGAGCCGGCATGGGATCATCACCGTATCGTCCATTGCGTCGACGGCCTGCACGAAGCGATTGACAGCTCCCAACAGCGACTGCCCGTCCACGGTTAAACTTGAACGTCTACTAAAATTGCTCATACCTGACATTTTGAACTGAGACGTGGTAACAACAACACCGTGGCCTGACTGGAGAATCTCTGGGCTGGAGAAAAATGTCAAAAAAAAGCCAAGAGAATTTCTACCTCCTTCCCAGCTTCTGGTCGTCCGTCCGCGAGATTCTACAAAACTAGGATCGGCAAACGAAGGAAACTAACAAGGGAAACCCGACGAAATACTTCTTAAGAAGACTTTTCAAAAATTGTCTAACTCAATAAATTGTTTCATAATAATATTATAATTATTATTTTACTAAAGGTATGAATTAATTCTCTTATTAGAAACGTTTATAGTTCAGATATAACAAAAAGGTGCTAAACAAATGATATACACAATACTAGAATAAAGCATTCTTCCCTGTCTACCAAATGAACTGGCCTATATCAAACACTATCGGGGTTAGAGGTCACAAGCAGAAGATTTCATTGGCTGGCTGCGATCAGCAGCACAGACAGGGAGTGACTCAATGACATGCCGGGTCGGTAGTTAGTTACGGAAGACGTAGAGAACTGGGGTTATTGGGCACTGTTGGGTGTGTAGTCATCTAGGACTCGAAGAACTGGAGGTATTAGGTACTTTTGGGTATGTAGTCATGGAAGACGTCAAGAACTGGGGGTATTGGGTGTGTAGTCATGGAGGACGTCGAGAACTGGAGATATTGGGTACTTTTGGGCGTGTAGTCGAATAGGACGTCGAGAACTGGGAGTACTGGGCACTGTTGGGTGTGTAGTCATCTAGTACGTGGAGAACTGGGGATATTGGGCACTCTTTTGTGTGTAGTCACGGAACTCGAGGAAAACTATAGGTATTGTGCACTCTTATGTGTGTAGTCATGGAACTCGCGGAGATCTGGGGGTATTGGTACTCTTTAGTGTGTAGTCGTGGAAAACTAGAGGTATTGGGCACTCTTATGTGTGTAGTCATGGAACTCGCGGAGATCTGGGGGTATTGGGTACTCTTTGGTGTGTAGTCATGGAACTCGGGGAGAACTGGGGGTATTGGGCACTCGTTAGTGTGTAGTCATGGAACTCGTGGAGAACTGGAGGTACAAACGACATGAGAATCACCAGATATTAACTGAGATGGGACATTTAATGGACTGATGAAACGAGGGCGGATATTTACAAATAGAAGGCTCATGTTGTGCCGACTCCTCTCTGGAGTTTCTACCACGCATACGGCAGCGGTGGAGACCAAGATGGAGTAAACAGAGGACAGGAGAATAAAACTTTCTTTTATTATCCCGGGTGAGGCCTGGCAATTAAATGTGGTGTATGTGTGTGTGTGTACACATATAAATATAAACGGCTCCCTTTATTCATATACAAATTATCTTTAAAGGTATATGTGTGTACACACACACACACACCTTTAAAGGTAATTTATATATGAATAAAGGGAGCCGTTTAACTTGCGCACAAAAATACCTCAGCGCTCAACCACGCTCCCCCCCCCCCACACACACATACACACACAAAGCGCTAGTATCCTTTCCCCAACAAAAAAGCCCTAGCGCCCCCCCCCCCCCCATCCCCCAGTTTCCGGCCCCTATGTCAGACACAGTTTAAGATGTCACCCAGTCACACGCATCTGATGACCCTTCATTCGCGGGTCATTAATTACAAGACTGGGCATGGGGGGGGGGGTGACAACATTTCCCATCATTATTCAGATAAACGTGGATGATCGTGATTGCTCATTTCACACTAGTCTTTTAAAAAAGCTATACATATTTTTTAGGTAGAAAAAAGGGAGGGGGAGAGAGAGGGAGTCACAAGGGACATAGTCCTTGTATAAGTGCATCATAATAATGGTTGCTGAATGGTAAATAAATATAATATTTAGTGTGATCGTAATACCCTGAGCTGAAAACGGGACAAATAATATGTTGGACTGAAAAATGGGACAATCCAAAGTCAGTTTAACCACACTCCATGTTTTCTAGGTCATCATCGTCATCATCACGTAGCAGGTCCTTTGCAGAACGTCGCTCTCATCGCAGTCTGCCTGAAAGAAACTCGGTCTTTCGCCAGTTCTCCCGCCTCATGCACTTTCACACTCAAGGAGTCACTTATATCCTGTGCCCATCTTCTTGTCGGTCGGCCCCTGCCCCTCCTTCCTGGTACCATGCCTTGTGCTATAATTTTTTCCAATCCGTCGTGGCGCTTGATATGACCAAAATATTTCAGCTTTCGAGAAAGGATGCTGTTTATTTGCCAATCTTTCTTGATGTTCAGATCTTTTAAGATGTCAATATTTCTCATCTTCTTTGTCCAAGATTTTCTGAGAATCTTTCTATAACATTTCAGCTCAAAAGCCCCTATTTTCTTTCTTAAGGACTGAGAGATAGTCCACGTCTCACATCAGTATGTAACCACAGGGAAGATGCATGCTCTCAAAATTCTTATTTGTATCTCCTTGCTGGTGCTTAACCATAAACTATTAAGTCTCCGTTGTTGTTTATTATAGAGCCTAGATATTCAAAGTTTGTGACATTTTCAATTTCTTCATCATTTATTGTTATTTTTGGGTGACAGCCAGTTTTAACTGTGGATATTATTTTCGTTTTCTTTAAATTCAAGAACAGATTTTGATCTTCACTGTGCTTTTGGACAGACAATATTAAATTTTCTATTCCCTTTACGCTGTTCGAAAGGAGGACTGTGTCATCTGCGTAGCGGAGTTCCGGAATAGGGTTGCCACCAATTTTGAGCGGATCATAACCTTCTAGGTTACTGAAGTGAAAGGGTAGTTACTCGTTTGACGATGGTACGTGAGCCATCGTCGCCAAGAAATGAATGACTAAAACATGCCAGAATAAAACTTCCCATCAACACATTTCAGACAAAAAAGTAGTTAAAACTATTAAATCTAACCAGGTCTACACATGTTACTGTAAATTTTTGTTCAGCTCTTTTTTTTTAAAATTCATCCCAACTTGGAGAATCCAAGATTTCGTAGGGAGTTCTCGAGAAAGTCCAATAGTATAGGGATGCTTTGGTGTACAATAAACACTGACGAACACTAACACTGACTCTAAAACCCCTCCCCCACCCCATTACTGGAAACCTCCGAGTCCCCGAGATAGGGTGAACTAAAAGAAAAGTACCGTATGTTCTTTTCTCGAGCTTATTTCAAGATTTGCATAAAACAAGACAAACTGGTGTTCTTATTTGTGTATGTGTGCGTGCGCGTGCATGTGTGTGTATTTGTGTGTGTGTGTGTGTGTGTGTGTGTGTGTGTGTGGAGTACTGACATGACTAACAGCGCACCAATATAGAATGCACTTTTTTGGGGTCATTTTAAAGCCCCATCCGGCCCGTCGTCGGGGTCCTAAGTAGTAAAGACGGAGGAAATCCAGCGATTTTTTCGACGTTTTCGCTCTTTAGGCTACACTGATAACCCTCCACCTGAAAACTATAGGACAAACGGTTCTTTCGTAATAAGTTAGCTCAGATGACGTCACGGGGACAGTCCAATATTTTATAGGATGGTAAGACTGGGTTTCCTGGCTTTGTTGCGCCTTTAACAACCCGAAAACATCTAGAACTAACCCCAAAACCACCTACGTCCCACGAGAGAGTGCAACCCAGGTCCCACGACTGTATCTACCACCACATGAAATATTGGACTGTTTTTTTTTTTTTAGTAACTCGAACCCTCACCCTCAAGTGACATGTCTAAAATACATCAGCTTTCGAGAGAGGACGCTGTATACGTGCTAGTTCTCCTTGATGTTCCTGTTTTGCAGAAATCAACGTTATTTTTTATTCTTGGTCCATGATATTATAAGAACCTTTCTGTAGCATTTCAGTTCAAAAGCTCCGATTTTCTTCCTCAAAGACCCAGTAAGTGTCCGTAACACACATCCATAAGTCGCCACGGGACTCATTGATTAGGTAGGAGGGCGGGGGTGGGGGAGAGGGGGTGAGGGGCAAGGGTGATAGCACCCACACAAAAATGGGTGGGTGGGGGGGGGGATGGCACAGTTGGCTGCTGTCACACTCCAACACTTCTGATCTTTACAGCAGTTTCTTTGTCTTCTTCTTTCCACAGCCATTTTCATTACTAATCTGCATTCTAGATGTCACAATGTTACGTCAAGTCAGTCAGTGCACACAGAGGGATTCAGTAACCATAGACGTCTGAAATTTATGACCTGGCTGCTAGCTGATTTTGGGAGGATACAAACACCAGGGTAGTCTTATAAGAGTCCTGCCATTAGTCTGTGAAATGTTAACTCTTCAAGTCACATGCAGATGTTAATTTAACTCGTATTGTCTGCAAATTTATATTGTAACTAATAAAGCACTGGACTTTTTCTTCATACAGTCCATGCCGTTAGGCATTGGCAGCCATGAGTTAAATAAAGTTTACAATGCAGACTGTTTAAGGCGATCTTGGATGAGGCGAATTTCTGTTGGAACAGCAATTTTTGTAACCCCGACAATTGTTTTTGCTTGAACTCTTATGAGAATTTCTGATAAGAAGACCCATTACTTGAGTCCCAGATGAGTTCTCATTATCAGGACTGTACTGTATTCTGTAAGCAGAAACCAACAAATGCATGCAGCAACACATGTAGCGTTGCTTGGTACGAAATGAGTTGAGGGATCGTTTTGGCACCCTTCGGGCATTGGTCAGTCATATTGTACGATTTGTATTTTTATAAACCAATCACCATTTGAGGGCTGATGTTCAAATGACACCTGCTTCTAATGACATGCCCTGGCACCAAAAGCGTCGGAATATCGACGGAAGTGGGTGACATGCTCAGGAACCAAAGGGAGCGATCCATGACAATTAGTAAGAAGGTATTCCCCTGCACCTACACTACAAAAATAACAATAAAAAAGAAATTACTTTTCTAAGCATTTATGTTAATTCCAATATATAATCTTAATTTGCAGTTCAGCACATTATGACGATGATGACCACCACTACTACCACCACCTCACAAACACCACAACTACTACTACTGCTACCACCAC